CTTTCTTAAGAGATTGGTCGATTTACCAAAATGCATTTTTAGATATAGAGGATATTACATGGCCGCGCGGAGATACGAAATTTCTCTTCGAGTTCTCGACAGTTATGCAAACCCTCGACTTCGTCTAGGGTTTGCCTAACTGTCTCGAATTCTCTCAACCCCTATGGTGTTCATATCAGGCAATGCAAACACAGAAAACGTTTTCTATTGCTTAAATGTTGATGTTCGTGTGTTTGTTTAACTTTATTGTTATGTTTCAACCCTATCATTGTAACTTTTTTTACTTTTCCTTCCCGCCTCGATGAGCTGCAGGCTACTTTGCGGGCAAGGATTAATCATGGCATGTATGCTAAGTGTTTTTAATAAACTTGAACTTGAACTTGAAACTTGTACTTAAACTTAAAATTTACAATGAATGTTTTATTTCAAGAACCAATGCGCTTCTGGTACCCTGAGTTGCAGCTGGCGCACGTATCTTCTAGACCATTGATATAAGAGGGTCCCCAATAGGTTTCTCGGGATCCGGGATTGTACTTATTTGAGGCTCGGGATTCGGGATTATAAAGCAAAATCGGGGCAAGATTCGGGATTGAAAGTATGCTAATCTAGCCTGCGTTGCAGCCGGCCCACGTATCTTCTAGACCATTGATATAAGAGGGTCCCCAGTAGGTTTCTCGGGATCCGGGATATCCCTTATTTGAGGCCCGGGATTCGGGATTATAAAGTAAAATCGGGGCAAGATTCGGGATTGAAAGTATGCCCGTAAGGTGGGATGTCAAAAATAAAAATGGGATTACGAGATTGCACGAAATTTTGGGTCGGGATTACGGGATTGAAGAACCCCATTGGTGACCCTCATATAATATACAGGCGGTTAAGAGTGTCTGCGACGCAAGCTTGCTTCTGGTTGGCACATTAATGTCAAAAGGTGACGTCAGCGGGAGTATCACTTTTCACTCCAAGTGTTGTGATGTGTGCAGTTCTAACCAAAGAGATTGTAAAATATTGGCATTACGGTGATGAATTCCTTTTCGTCATCATATATTACTTCATTTTTTCTCGGTCTCCGGTCGATAAAGGTTTAAAGACTCCTCTTTAGTGTAAAATTTACCTTTCTCTAGTGTTTTTTGTTTTGTCTTTTATTTTATTTTATTTTTTAAGTATAGGAAAATGATACCCTCTTCTAGACCTAAACTCTCTGATTTATATGCCCTATCCCAGCGTAAACTGCTTGAAAACCATACCCTTCACAGCGGCCCTGAACAATATTTGGTGTCAAGAAGTAGCAAGAAACGAAATAGGAAACTGAATACAATACCACAGGTGGCTAAAGTTTACATCTGTACTGTCAAATGCCAAAGGAAAAAGCATATTGAAAACACATTTGAAAACCAAAGGCCAAGCACAAGTCCCTTCTTCATAAAAAGAACGCATCTCCATTGAACCCAGTAAGCTTGTTTTGTTTACAAGGCAGGTAATTTTCCATTGGGATACATGCTGTTTTTGTGATTGACATGCAAAGCTGAACACAATGGAGATTACATTGCAATTAGAAGGTGATGGAGAAGGATATAAAACTACCGTAAAATTCCGAAAATAGACCCCCCATGTATAAGCCCCTCCAAATATAAACCCCCCAATCCGTTAACGCAAAAAACCCTCCGTTAAATCGCCCCTCCAAATATAAGCCCCCCGGGGGCTTGTACTTGGAAAATTGCCCTCAAATACAAAGTAAAACAAAGCAAAAACGGCAAATTTACTTCCAACTATAAGGCTAGCCCAATCGATTTTGAAACGCACATTTCCCTCCGTAGATAAGCCCCTCCGAATATAAGCCCCTCCAAAAATAAGCCTCAAGAAGGGCCTTTGAAAAATATAAGCCCCGGGGCTTATTTTCGGAATTTTACGGTATTCTGATGGATCCCATAGCTATTGATCAGCCTCTCTTTTTGGTCAATTCTGACGAAATCGAAGTTGCGATGATCGCTTTTGATGAAGCGAAGATCCGCGACGAACGCATCGCCATCCGTTCATTTTTAATTTGACAACAATAGTCGTCCGATTCGCCCCATACTAAGGCAATCCAAGAATTAATACACTCTCGGATTCTGGATTCGACGCCGTAGATTCCGAATTCCAGGTCCAGGATTCAGGACTTTTGTCATTAAAACTTGGATTCCGGATTCCCATCAGTAGCGGCATTCCGGATTCCAAAGCCCAGGATTTCGAATTCCAAGCAAAAATTTCCTGGATTTCAGAATCCGCGGATTCCCTAAATGGGAAGAATGCGATGATGCCCGAGCAATCTGCCAAAGATTGCGCTGCACGTTCAGCGTTTTTGCTTTGCTTAAACCTGTGATCTTTTTTTTTATTATTTTCTTGTTTCCTTCGTCGTCTTCGTAGTTGTGCCCGAACTCTCTAGTAACATTACCACGCAGAACAATTCTTGATCTATGCGAACATTTCGATTGATTTCCTAAAAAAACCGACGATTTGATGGAAAATGCGCGGCGAAATTAACCTGGTTCACTGATGCTACAAATTCTACAAGGTCAAAAGATTCTTCATTTTTGCGCTCTAGTACATGCATGAGAAAGTACCAACCAAAAATATTCATGTGGCTCGAAAATTTCCTTTCAAATACAAAACTTAGAATGTTCACTTTTAGTGTATTATCACTAACTTACGACAATTCCTTCTAAATGTTATCTAATGTAGTCACAAGCCAAAATAGGAAGGGAATTTCCACGTTTTGCATAAACGTTTATCTATTGTTGACATCCAAAGTTTTAATCGCTTAATTAATACCGTTTATTAGAATTAACAACAGGTGAATCAAGACAATTTAAGACAGAGCGACGTATTGCATTCAATAATAGGAGCCTGAACGCTCCAGAAGATTGTCTTTCGTTGAGTTAAGCTTCAGTTTTATTTAAATGTGAAGAAGAACGAAATTGAAAACCGACCCTTCCAATTGGTCTAAATGCTTTTGCTGTCCTATACTGTAAATTTAGCAATCATAAATTGACGTATTGATTACCTTTATAGTGTTCATCAGATAGGGGGCAAACGTTACCAGATGTTTATAAAATAACAAAACTTTTCTTTGACATAAACTTCAACGCCCAGCTAAAGTTCTGGACCGATAACATAATGGAAACTTGGTTTTGGATTCTTGGCTGGATTCTGTCCATTCTGACGATAGCTGGAAATGGTTTCACCGTACTTCTTGTGGGCAGTCAAAGTCGGCTTCGCACCAAAACCAACGCACTGATCGTTTCACTTGCAGTGGCGGATTTCTGTGTTGGGGCGTTTGCTGTTCCTTCACTATTCGTCTGTCACATCAGAGGTGGCTGCAACTGGCCCCAACCCTATGCGTCCTGGGTGGATTTTATAAGGTGGCTCTTTGTGTACGCCTCTAAAATGAACCTGTGTAGCTTGGCACTGGATCGGTATATGGCTGTTGTGAAGCCACTGAAATACGTCACCTTTATGACCGCGCGACGTGTCACCCAACTAACATATTTCTCTTGGCTTATCGCTCTTGGTTATGTAATTTTTTCTGTTATAATGGTTTTAAATCTAACGTTTTCTTCATATATAATGGTCTTAAGCGTATGTTCTACAGTCCTTGAGATTTTTTTCAGCTGCATGTTAATTTTCTGTTTTATTTCCATGGTAACAGCTGTATACAAACAAACTCGATCATCAGCCATCTTGGCAAAACAGCTACGTTTTAACCATCGAGGTTTGACGTTCCAAAAATATGACAAATCAGCAGTTGTAATGTTGGCAGCTGTGGTAGGCTTCGCTCTAGTTTGTTCTGCAATTTCCATGCGCTGTGACTTTCTTGAGTTTTTTGTAAAACATCCAACTCAACACTCTACGCCGTGTAAAAGTGACTTTGCGTACAAAATACCTATGTTAGTTCTGAACTCTGCAATAAACCCTTTGGCATACGCTTTTTTCAAGGGTGATATTAAAAGAGCCCTAAAAGGAAAATAGCTTTTAATTTCTGCCGAGGTTGGTCGATTTACCAAAATGTATTTTAGGTTGTAAATTCTTAAAACGTATCCCAGGTTGAAAAAATTTTGCCTCGAATTTATTTTGACCTGTAACACTTACATTGTATGCTTCAAATAAACTTAGTGAACGTGTAGGAGACATCACCATATTTACAAATATTGTTTTTGTTATGCAAATTTGTAACGCATGAAGCAAAAGAGTGTTTTGTTTCAACTAATGCGCTTCTGGTCGAAAAAAGTGTGCACGCAACAATCCCGAAAGGTATTGTGGGTGGTTCTGAGTTCACGGTTCTTCAATGAAATTTGAGAGAATGGCACGAGAGGCCAAGGACTTATGTTTGCGGTTGCTTAAGGAAAGCAAAAACAGAAGATTCGACAGCTACAGTCAGGTCAGGAACAGTGTATTGATCATATCTCATATTACCTTTCGGGATTGTCGCGTGCACAATTTTTCCAACAACCTCTCTCGAAATAGCTCTATACAGTCGGTTGAGAGTGTTTAGGACGCAGGCTAGTTTCTAGTTGGTACATTAATATCAAAAGGTGACGTCACCATGAGTATCGCTGTTCACTCCAAGTGTTGTAATGTTAATTATCGGCATTTTTTGTGATAAATTCCTTTTCGTTATCATTACACCATTTTTTCTCGATCTCCGGTTGACAAAGGTTTTAACAACTCCTCTTTAGAATAAAATTCAATTGTCTTTCATGGTTGCCATAGCCAAAGGTTTCTGAATTTCCCTGACGTTTTCCTGACAAATGTAAAATTTCCCTCACCAACTGAATTAGCAATTTTACAAATTAGTCCTGATAATGGGCTCAACCCTCCCCTCACGGCCATCCTCTCCAAGTCACGTGCAGTGTACATGATTATTGGTAGTTCCTTAATAATATAAAATGCAAAATTAAACTGATTTCCTTGAAAACCAACACCAGCTTGTCATTCAATTTCATGAGCAATATAATATTTTACCG